GAGTATCATGTCATCTGCAAATAATGACAATTTGACTTCTTCATTTCCTATCTTTATTCCTTTTATTTCTTTCTCTTGTCTAATTGCCATGCCTAATGTTTCCAAAACTATATTGAACAGGAGTGGTGATAGTGGACATCCTTATCTTGTTCTTGATTTTAGTGTGAAGGATTTCAGTTTTGGACCATTTAGTATGATATTGGCTGTTGGTTTTTCATAGGTGGCTTTTATCAGGTTGAGGTAGAGACCATCTATTCCAATTTTTTGTAGTTTTTTTTTATCATAAATGCCCAACGCCATTATTTGAAGAGTCTGTCCTCTTGTGTTCTTGGCAGCTTTGTTAAATATTAATTAACCTTTTAGAAGAAGGCAGTTCCTGTCATTTGCATTTGCCACCACACAGATGAACCCTGAAGACATTTTAAGAGAAATCAGCAGGTGCAGTAGGACAAATACCATGTGGTTTCCCTTGTGTGGAATCTAAAAAGTAAGGCTCATAGAAGCGGAGTAAAATGATGATAACACAGGGTTGAGACTGGGGGGTGGGGAGATTGTGATCAAGTGATACGAAATTTTAACAATAAGTTCAAGAGGTCTATTGTACAATATGGTTTCTAGTTAATAACAGTGTATTGAATATTAGAAATTGCTAAGAGATTTTAAGTGTTCTTATCACAATAAAAATAAACATGTAATGCATATTAGCTTGATTTAGCTGTTCCATAATCTATACATATATCAAAATGTTACATATTATAATTTTGATTAGTCACTTTAAAATACAAATTTAAAAATTTTTTAAAGTTAAAGCAGTAATTTTTTAAATGTTTTCTTGGTCTGAGGTCTTCCTGACATATCTCAATCATAACCTGAAATTTAAGTAATTCTGGCTCCATCTTACAGTGGAGACAAGCAACTAGGACTCAAATTCATCTCTGGTTCCAATGTGGAGCTCTTTCCACTTAACTATGTGGTCTCTTTCCAAATGAATTACCCAGGTAAGTAGACTAATAAAAGGCCATGGCAATGTACCAGCAAGATGTATTACAGAATCCCACAAAGGATTTTAAGCAGGAGGATAATGTGATGTTCTTGTGTTGAGCAGACCTGCAGCTGAGCCAGTAGGGAGAAAGATAAGCCTTCAGCTAGGGAGACCAGGCTAAGAATCTAATGCATCAGCCTAGGAAAGGCCTGGACAGTCTTTGAACTTGCAAATCAGCTTCCTTCAGCATCAGAGAAATGCTTTTCTACTTTTGCACATGCTTTTCTTGGTCAGTGGTCAACCCTGGATTGGCCTTTCCCAGCATTTTGGGGATAAGAGCCAGGAGAGAAGATGGGTTTCTAGGGTAAAATAAACAAAGGAGATTTCATGGCCTGCTTTAGTTTTAAATCTCATAGCTACACTTGGTATCCACTTCAACATTAAAGTCTGGACCAAATCCTTAGCAAATAAGAGGGACCATTTGTTTTCTGGTGTATGTACTTCTGCTGGGGACCTCAGAAAGAGGTCAAGGGCAGGATTTGGGTTTTCCTGGCTCTCTTGGTCAAATACCACCTTTCTTGCTCTCACTTTTTGGCTTGACCTACATATACCTTATGAACCTAAGAAAGTAAACTGAAAAACTTTTAGAAATAATAGCAGAATTTAGTGATGGGAACATTTATAAAATCAATATATAGAAATCAGTATGATGAAACTATAAAATTACTAAGGCAAAAGGGGAGAGAATGAAGAGCTACACCCTGTTTTAAGGCATGAAGATGCAGGTGGTCATGGTGGCACACACCTATAATCCTACTACTGAGAGGGGCTGAGGCAGGAAGATCACAAATTCAAGTCCCCTCAGCAAGTTAGTGAGACCCTGCCTCAAGCTAAATAATAACAAAAGGGCTGGGGATGTAGCTCAGTGGTAGAATGGCCCTGTGTTCTCTCCCTAGTTCTGTGGTTGGTCGGGGGGATAGGACTTGGGACTGGAGGTGTAGCTCAGTGATAGAGCCTCCTAGCTTGTGGAAGGCTCTGGGTTCCATTCCTAGCTCTACAAGCAGAACAAACAAAACAGTGTACAGTCCATTCTGCTAAAATATACCTACAAATCTAATGTACCAATAAAAACCTCAATGATTTTCACTTAAATAATTTTAAAATGTAACTGAAAGCATAGTTTGGTAGAGGAAGATAATTTGACTTTGTGTATTAGATTTGCCCTTTGAATCTCACCTTGAGTAGTTTACTAGTATGAAAAGATGTAGAAAAATGGTCATCACAGCATTATTTATAATTGGAAAACATGGTGCCTTAATCCACTCAGGTTTCTGTAACAAAATACAT